GAAAGTACTATTACAATGATACTTTAACATTTTTTCCGAAAATGTTAAGTAAAACTTTTGAGTGAAAAAATGAAAGATAGAAATAAATTTTCTCAAAGACATATCATAGGAAACTGTTAGTACAACCTAAAACCAACGAGGGTCATGGGCTAGCTTGCTTGGAGACATGGTCCAAGGACATGCACGAGTTCGTAGGTGTGGGTTCCATTCATACAAGTGATTCCTCGCCACAATTCTAACATTTTATTTCTATTATTTTTTTCAGCCGTTTCAACATTCAAAACTCAAATATCAAATGGGTCGATTCAAACATAAACATTTATCTATAATAGCTATGGTAGAGTAAAAAAGTCGACACCAGGGTAAGCTAAAACGGTAGGTTGAAAAACGATAATATTAATGAGATGGACAACTCGAACTATACAAGACAAAGAACTGCTCACTTTCTCTCGACCACAAGTGAATTTAATTATGTCGTGATTGACATTCCTACGGTCTCGTAAGGGCCTCCTATGAGTAGGGTAGGACAAGATACGAGCAAATAAAAAAAAAAGGTGGTGTTGTTTGAGGAGGGTATGGAGCAAACAGAGAAATCATAATAAAGAAAAACAAAAGCTTAGGGATACTGTTGGAAAATACTGTTTCGATGATATTAATAATTCATGTTTTTTTGGACATGTATGGTTCCAAATTCCAACACAAACATACTTGAAAGGACCAAAGATTTGTGTGCAGCTCCAATTATTGAGCTTTTTCATGGCTTTTAAAGTAAACCAATTAAAAAAAAATCAAAGAAAATTAGGGCAAAAAACTATATATATAGTTAGCTGAAATGATTGATTTGATTTGGATGATGATTTAATTTTCATCACTACATAAGCCATAATAATTTTATTAGATAAATGAAACGGTGCTAGAAAATAATAATTATTGAGCTTTTGTAGACGTGTTTTAAAATCGTGAGGCTGATGCTGACGGTGATACATAATAGGCTAAAAAGAACAATATATGCTAGTGGCGGGTTTGGAGTGTTACAAATGATATTAGAGCCAGACATTGAGCGGTGGGCTAGTGAGGACGCTAGGCTCCTAAGGGGTGGATTGTGAGATCCTACATCGGTTGGGGGAGGGGAACAAAACATTCCTGATAAGTGTGTGGAAACCTCTCCCTAGTAGACACGTTTTAAAATCGTGAGGCTGATGGCGATACGTTATGGGCCAAAGTGGACAATATTTGCTAGCCGTGGGTTTTAGTTGATGCAGTAACCGAGACCACATCTGAATGAGAGGGGATGGAGCGACAGAAGTTTTGAGAATTCAAGAGAAGGTCACCCTCCGTCTTAGTATACTAACTTAGCTTATTAGCCGTCACTCTATGACTTGTGGCCCAGTGTCTACAAGCTCCCAAAGAGAGTCAGTCTTTCTTCTTATATCAACCATATATATGGTCTGGTTTCTAGCTTTTTTTCATCAGAGACTTTTCCCATATTTTATTATGAATTAATGTCAGTTCTTGCAAGGAAAGCCTCTTTCTTTCTTTCCTGTCTCCCGGTAATAGGAACTTAAGGATATGATTCCTGAGAAAAGACTTATAAGAATTGAAGTTATTATCCACTTTTTTAGGGTTCAACGGTAGAAACTCTAAAGTTAAGCGTGTTTTTTTATGGAGCAATTCTATGTTTCTTGACCTCGAGAAATTTTTTATAGGAAACGTATGTCGAAAGAAGACTTGTCAGTCTGTGGATAAAGATTTCATTTTAAAAAACAAGGAGTAAATAACGTAGTTATATCGCATAAGATACAAGAGCATGTCGAGATTATAGAAACCAGAAATAAGTAACGTAACTATGTTCATAAGGGATCTCGGAAATTATAGAGTCATCTCGTGTCGAATTCAGATTCCAAATCTTGGACTTAAGAGGCTATGCTAATTCAAAATTTAAAACAAAATTTAATTGTTTTTTAATGTTAAAAGAGGAAGGAGGATCCAAAAATATCGGGTTGGAAGGAAACCCGGAATCCACGGGTCGGGTCTTTTTTGGTACTTGTTTTTTACCCACGCCGACACCCCAACATCCTCCACTTATATTCCGCCACGTGGAATATACGAATACAACATAATCTGACGTGGCGGTATAGGGTTCACCAGAGAAAGTCAAATGTGTTGTTTCCATCAAATGGATAATAGATGCACATGCATGTACCCACTTACCAATTTTCAATATCTTTTTAAAATATATATTTTTATAATAAAAAAAATGAAAAAAAAATAATATATATATATATATATATTTAAGTTCAATTAATAAAAAATATTTTTAAAAGTCAAATTTTCATTAATACCTCTATTTTAAATTTTAAAAATATCCTTAATTTTTTTTTTAATGTTCTTATTAACCTTTAAAATTAACGATAATAATATTTTTTAATTAATTAATTATTATTAATATTGGAATGAATATTTGAAGGAGATAAGTGAAGAACAAAATCTGACAAAGGAAGATTTTATAAATAAATAAGAGGAAAGCAACAAGTGATTGATGGATTTGAATGTGTTACCAACACAAACCTTCATATTTATGGCTGTTTATATATATATATATATATATTATTAAAAGCTTTACAAAAATGGTGGCTAGAAGCATAGATTTGGACATTAGGGTGATTTTTTTTTTTTTTTTTGTTACTTTTAAATATTTTATGTCATTGATAAGTTGTGTCGAGTTATGTCGTGATGGAGTAATTGTGTGTGGATTGATGGGACATAAATATGATTTATCATATGTCGTTGTCGTGTTAAAAGTAGTTTCAATACTCATCTATATGGGTAAATTTGTGACATACTTGAATATCTAGGGGGACGTAAGGTTGGACGACTTAAGAAAGGAAATGAGAGACTTGGTTTGCGTGGTTTGTATGATCTTAGTTCATCTCGGCTTTTAACCTAGTTTATTTCGTATCTTCGACCCAATTTAGTTAATAAGGAGAAAATTCTCCTCTCTCTCTCTCTCGTTTCCTATTTAAATGAGAATTCTCTATCTGGTTTAAGGCGAATCTTCAAAGGTCTCGACCATGTTGGTTTAGTGGACGTCTCAACCTTTTCTACACTCAAATTCTATGTACTAACTTAATAATCAATTATTATTTTAAAAAACAGACAAAATGTTACGTATATACTAAATAATTTATTGTCGATGCTAAAGAAATTAAGAGGGTTTGATTCAATATGTGCGGATAATATCCATTCTGATCATAATTTTATCGAAGTTAACATGAACATAGCTCAACGAGTTTAAAATAATATTAAAAAATAAAAGCAAAGATTATGATTTTCGAGGTTTGAGTCTTCTATACTAACCGAGAATAAAACCAAAACATAGTTGAAGAACTTAAAAAAGAGAATCTTACAAAAATGGTAGGTTTTATCATAGATATTCACCTCCGAACAAAAACCACTCGAATAAACAAATTACCTAATTCGATAAAATTACTTTATGATAAAACAATTTTCGAGACGTTTCGTATATGAATTTGAAATGTATGAAATTGTGTAGTTTGAGCTCGAGAAATCTAGATTTGCACCGTATGCTTTTCGTTTATACAAATAAATGATAATTTGTAAATAAGTTGTAGTCTAGACTTACTGTTCGGAAAAGTCGAGCTAAACCAAACATTATCTCATTAGACCTAAACTCTGGAGAAAAACGAGAATAGAGGAAGCTAGAGAGAGCTTAAAGAACGAGCGAATGAGACGATTTCAAATCTATTTTAGTTACTAAATTAATTATTTACCATTTTTGTCGAGAATATATGTCTGAGTCAAATTATGAATTGGACCCACTTATATTATACACCTCAAAATTGCCAATTTTATAACTTTCCAACAAAAATACAACTTTAATAGTGTAGAAATGTGCTGTAAATATATTTCAATGACAGATTGTAAAACATGTCTTTATGAGTGTCGTAGAAAGGTTTTCGACTTTTGACAAATGCTAAAATTTTAACGTTTTGATCTATAATATGTCTTAACTAGTTGGATTATAGATTCATTTGTTAATCTCCTCGTAAAATGTTGGAGAGCGGGAGGGAATTAAAATAAGCTGAATTAGTGGTCATCTTGTCTCTAAGGATGTCTTTTTCCTCATTCTTTTTTCATTATATACTAAATCAATAAAATTCTATTGAGCATAATTTAGCTCGTCCATAGTACCAGTGTTTTGAAAAATTAGGGCACTACCCTTTAGTTATCCTAGCTTCAGGGCGCAACGTCCTAGCTGGCACTTGTTCCTTTCTCTAATCGATGTGGGACTTCCACCAAACCGATTTCCATCGGGGCCCAGTATCCTTACTAGCATACCGCCTCATGTCTACCCTTTCGAGGAACAACCTCCTCGCTGGCACACTGCAAGGTGTCTGACTCTGATACCATTTTGTAACGGCCCAGTCCCACCTCTAGTAAATATTGTCCTCTTTCGGATTTCCCTCAAGGTTTTTATACGTGTCTATTAGGGAAAGGTTTCCACGTCCTTAATAAAGGATGTTTCATTCTCCTCTCCAATAGACGTGTGATATCACATATAGTTTCAAAAAAACTTATGAACCAACCCAACCGATAAAATTTTCATTTATTTGAACCCAACTCAACTCAAATAACTTTATAACCCAACCTGACTCGAATTGGGTTAACCAAATTTTTCGGGTCATCTAGATTTTTGGACACCCTTAGTCCATCCAAAGTATTATTCTTTACTTAGTTTAGTTGCATACAACAGTGTAGATTCAAACCTCTAGCCCAACTAGAGAAAAAAAATACAAATCATTAAAGAATGTAATCAAGAAGTCAAATAATCGAACATCGACCTATCTCGAAAGGGTATAAATGGTATAAATTTTAACCGCCAATCTTTTTGCCTCCTCAACCAAAAATCACATTTTTTTTTTCAATTTCCAATAAAAATGTGTGTGTAATCAATTAGTAACATCATAGATTCATAACACTTAAAAGATTAAACTAAAAGTTCTATTAAAATGTGTTTTGAATTGGATTGAAGAACTGTACAAGAAATTGAGATGGGTTTTGGAATTTGAGTATGAAAAATTCAAACAGGGTCCGTAAGATCAAACCAGATCTGCTTGAACACGTTGATTATAAGATCGTGATATTCATCGGCGTTCAAGCAGAGATAACATGCAAGAAGATCTTCCAAATCCTTCGAACCTCTAATGTTGTTCTCCACGATCATCTCCACCATTGATTCTCTGAAGTCCTTTTGTGGATCGTATGATGATTTCATCACCGCCAGGCTGTCGGAAAGGCTCCGCCGTGACGACGTGCTTTTCCGGCTGCCGATTTTCCGGTGTCCGATTTTGGGGGAGTGAATTCGGAGCCGTACGCCGGGGGAATTCGCTGCAAATTTCTTTGTCGGACTTGCTGCCGTTGTCGCTCCCGGTGTTGTCCTCTGTTTTGTGTGTTTCTTTTTGTGGTTTGTAATGATCGGCGGGAGGTCCAGTTCCGACAGGGAATCGAAGGAGCCGATGATGACATTGTCGGGATACTTCGACGACACGTCGATTACGATGTCGCGATCGAAGAATTGGGATTTGGCGGCGGGGATTTTGTCGGTTTGGAATTTGGGTTTGGGTACAGGGGAAGTGTCGGAGGGTGACGTGGAGAATTCCGGTGGAGAATTTGATTTGGTTGAGATGGACTCCGTCGTAGTGCGGCAGCTGCAGCCGACGGAGGATGAGTTGACGACTTTCCCCGCCGACAACCGGGAACTAGTTCGTCTTCTTCCGGGGTTCTGCTGTTTTGATGACTTTCTCAGCGGTGGAGGCACCGGCGGCGACGGCGGAGGGGAATTATTGCCTAACCCATCGTTGGATTCAAGCTCTCTAGTGAAATAGTAAGATTTTCTCGAACGAGACTGCGGCAGCGGTGGCGGCGGGGGCATTTCCGGCTGTTTTTTTTTTGACGGCGGCGGTGGCTGCCGGTGCTTTTTCTTAGAATCTAAAGATGATTGGTTGTTCGAAGATTTTCCTCTTCCGCCGCCGCCCATTTCTCGTAGCTTGTATAACCAGGAGTTCGGAATCATATCCAATAGGTGGAACTTGTGATTTCCCATCGGAAAAGTTTCTCTCTCTAAAAACTCTCTGTTTTTCTCTCTCTTCCTCTCTGTTTCTGTGTGTTACAGAGTCGCCGGTGGGAGAGATAAAAAGAGGGGCGGAAACAGTGGGGCCCACTGGGGTAGAAAAAGTGGGTATAAAGGCAAAACGGTGGGGTCCGCGTGGTGATTTTCTTTTATTAATATTATAATCAATTTAATCCAACCGTAATGTTTGGGTTGAGCTACTAACTTATTTCGATTGGATTAGGTTTAAATAAACAAAAACTTTATACATGGCAACTTACTCTAAAATTATATTCGGTTAAATTGAATTCATTTAAATTATATTTTTAATTTTAAAATCAAATTTTTTCTTAAAAAATAATTATATATACATATATAAATAAATTTTAATGAATTTTATCAATTAGATGGTAATTTTTAAATTTTAATTAAATGTTTAAAAATAAATAAAAGTATATAGTTTGACAATAAAATTTTAAATCTAGGATTCAAACATTAAAAAAAAAAAATCATTTAATGTTTTAATATTATTTTGTCATAATTTTTTACCTTTTTAAATAATTATATTTTTTATAATAAAAAGAATAGGTAAATTGGAAGTAGGGTTAAAACAATAAGAGGTTTCCACATTCTTTTGGCCGTTTATTTCTCTTTCAAGGACCCTTCTACGTGGCTCACATGCCATAAACGCCCCATACACCAAATAAATATGTTTTTTTTTTATTAAAAAAACATAATTAATTATTAAAATAAAATTATTTGATTAAATAATTTTATTTTAATTAGTTTATTAAATAATCTACCAAAGTAATATCTTTAGGATTAATTTCATAGAACAAGTATAAACATCCATTATTAAATCAATTATTTTAATATTAATTCATTAATTAATATATATTTAATCAATTATCAGGATAATCCTTATAATTAATTGTTCATGAATTATTCGTGATATATTATCTATTAATTTTTTTTATTTTTTTATTTTTTTGTTAATAATTTTTCATGATTTATAATATTTATAAAATGTAATGAGAAAAAATGTTGACATAATAGAAAGGTCTATTTAGATGATATTTAATTTTGAAAAATAATATGTTTAATTAATTTATATTAAATTCTTATAACACCAAATATAGTTTTTTTTTATTTTTTATTTTCAAGTATCTGCTTTCTCTACATCATATGTGACACTTGAGTAAAAGAGAAATACATGAATGAATCGAGACCACATTTGAATGGGTGTGATCATGAGGATAGAAAAACTAAAAAATGCTTAAAGAATTGAAAGTCACGACTTATACCAATAATGTGCGCCTCTCTTTTCGGTGGCTTAACCATTGGAACTCCATGGTTGTTAAGCTTGGTTTGGTTGCTTAGAACAATTCTATGTTGGGTGACTTCTTGAAAATTTTACTAATACATGTGAGTGAGGACAAAACATGTTGAAGGATTCGTGTTGGTCTGTGGGGATGGTTTTCACAGTGAAGAGTAAGTAACGCAACCATATCATAGGAGAATGTCGGGGTCATTAGGTACCGAATCCAAATTCCAAATTCTGATATGAATCCTGGGTATGGGTCATTATATCATATTTTCGGACATCTTATTCTCATGTATCTAAGACAAAATCCCTAACCAAACGACCCTTTAGAAATCTATTAAACACGAAATTGAAACAATTTCCAAAGGTTACATAATAGAACAAGTTGTGTCCATAAACATATTCATTATAGACATATCGTTCTTTCACGAGTTGTTCTTAACTACAACCGTAAAAAATTGGTCGTATTTGAACAATTACATCTTACATCTTAAATATCACTGATTCTCTAATGAACAATTTGTTTATAATCCAGTCATAAACCAAGTTCCTCTCACGCCACTGAAAGCATGGGGACCCATTGATCAAGTCTTGAAATCAAAAATCAAGGAACCGTTTATCTACTTACCCTATATAAGATTCAGTGTATTATATCTCTTAATATTATGTTTCCAGTTCCTATCGGATCAAGTATCTAAAATGGTAGCCATCGAATCAGTTAAAAAAGTCATTTTCACTCGTACATATCAAAGAACAAGTTCTAATAGGTAGGAGCTTATAACTCACTCCAACTTAAGATCAAATCGCATATGTGATATACTCACTCACATCTCGACACGAACGATTTGAGTTTTGAGTTGTTTGGCTGAATAACCCTTGTTTCTCCCAAACTAAACACATTTTGATGACCTAAAAACAAATATAGGAAAATCAAACTCACATTCTCTCCAAAACCCTAATTTTCTTTCCTTTTCTCACCCATTTTCCCATCTCCCAAACAAGAACATGTTTTTCTATAATAAATTATAAAACAAAAAGACAAGAAATGTCTTGATGAGTTTGTCCCTATTCCCAAGTCCAGCCCATACTTAAGTAACTCCTCCATATATACCTAAACAAACCAACAGCAAGACAAAATCTAATATGAACAAGAAGAAGGAAAAAAAAACATTCTCATGATCTTATCTCTACGTAGATGAATGGAAAGAATTTTAGCTTCGTTAACGATTGAAAAATAGTTCAATTAGTTAGTATATTTACTTTCGGTTCAAAGATTAGAAACCCATCATGCCATTTTGTATGTGCATTTTATTCGTCCATCCATCCTATACTTGCATGCTTAGCTTTCTTAGCCAACATCTTCGTTTCCCTCGAACCAATAAGCTCTGTTTATCCATATCCAACAATCATACTGTTTTTCGGCTGAAAGACTGTATAATAGAACACCCTTTATAAGGGTATGAAAACCTCCCCTAATAGATGCGTAATGGGGAAGCTCATAAGGGAAAGCCCAAAGAGAACAATATCTGGATGAATATGAGTTCTACTGTGTAACTCAGAAAGACACGTTTCAAAGTCTTGAGGGGAAGCCCGAAAGGGAAAGCCCTCTACTACTACTAGTGGTGGGTTTGAGTTGTTATGGACTGACTTTTTCAATAAAGCTCATTCACAAGTCAGGAAAGAATTCAGCTACTTACCAGAACGATTACACGACACGTCTTTTTATAGATTTTTACATACGTCTTTAGAAACACGTAAAGTAGGGTATGTGGATTGAAGAGAAGAGGTACAATAAAGGGTTTGTATAGGTAGGGCATTGGGATTGAGTTGAAGATAGAAAATCTAAGTTAGAAAGGATAGGGTTTTGGCAGAGAAGAGTTTAAATGGGTTGGAAGAGACATTCTTTGTTACCCTTAAAACCATGTATTTGCCCCACAATTTGCAGGACACAGTGCCTTACAGACGTCCCACAACCTCTGGTCCCAAACAAGTTTAGGGTAGTGAGTGCCTTAACGTGTTCATCTTTCTCACCTCCTAAAAAATTCACATATGGAATAAATGGCTTAATTTTGTGTAATGTTTTGCATTGTCCTCTTCCTCCTACCATATCATAAATGATGTCTTATTTAAGGCTTCAATAAGAATACGATAAACAACTTGAACGTCGGCTCGGTTCAAACCCTAACACAATAATTGTATCGTTACTAGTCACCTCTTTAGCTTTAGTCGTAAAGCATGAAGGTCGACTTGCTATGAAGTAGCTTATTCGGCTCGAGTTTTAAGATATAAGTATTGTCTATTGATAGACAAATCTTCTCTGAGGTACAACAATTGCCTCACTACGAAAGTAGTTTCTTTAATTTGAATCTTGTACTATAAATCTTGTTGATTTTGATCTAAGAGATTTGTGAATGCATTATTTAGTGGTTTTTTTTATTCATCTACTTTAGAAGATTATGAAAAATACTATTGTTAGATCTCACTTCTATCAGTGAGGGGAACGACCCATTCCTTATAAGGGTGTGAAAATCTCTCTCTAGCATACTCATGCCTAACTATTGTGAGGTCTCACTTCGGTCAGAGAGGGGAACGACCCATTTCTTATAAGGGTGTGAAAATCTCTCTCTAACATGCTCATGCCCGGAAGGAAAAGCTCAAGGAGGACAATATCTGTTAATGCTGGGCTTGAGCGATTACAAATGGTATCAGAGCCAGTCACAAAGCGGTGTGCGAGCGAGAATGTTGGACCCTAAATGGGGGTGGACTGTGAGACATCGACAACAGGCGGTGTGCAAGCAAAGACGCTGTGCCTTCAAGGGAGATGGATTGTGAGACATCGGTTGGAGAGAGCATTTATTACAAGAGTGTGAAAACTTCTTCCTACTAGGAAGTCAGGATCTAGAGGTGAGCTTGAACTGTTACAACTATTTTTTGGTCTAATAGATATATTTTATTTTTTAAAAGTATTGAAAAATGCATGCAAATTTTAAAAAGAAAAAAGAAAAAAGACATGTCGGAAACAAAGTAAAATTATTACACCTACATGAGCTAGTTGTGTTGGGTGTTGCTTTCCTAGAACATAAGATGGTCCAGGTGCTTTAAAGTAAGAGGCCCATCAACCATCATAATACAACCAACAACAAGACCATAGTTTTGTTGTGTTTGGACCATTATGGGCCATTAAATAGCTCTTATCCCCTTCCCAAATTCTTAACATTGATGCCCGTTTTTCACTCCGACATTTTTCTACGACATGATCACATTACAAATCAACACAGGTCAATTCAACATGCTTTGTCCTAACTCATATATTTCTTAAAAAAAATTTTAGACAATCATTTAACATAGAATTGTTCGAAGTAAAGCATTGACCTATAAAAAACGAGGAAACAAAATTTGACTACAATATTTCTTCGGTGACTCTCGTTAACTTGAACGAATTTTAAACCCTAAAAAATAACTACTTAAGGTGTTTATGAAGATGTTTAGGAAGTCCTAGGAATTGCCCTAAACATGAGTTGTTGTTTCAATGTTTGGTTTGATGATTCCTAGATTTAAATTATCAAACGTTGTTGTATAATCTTTTATTGTTGGATGATGTTCTTCATAGATAAAAGATAGGATTTTGAGAAGGTGCAACGGGTGTCCGCACAAAACTTTGTTGTGCACACCTTTTTCACACATTGACTCTACTTGTTCTTAATTTTCGACATCGATCAAAAGTTTTCC